CGGAGATAGATGAAAAAAAGTGAACATGAGAACAACTGTTCATAATGCCATGACTTGGCGTGCGAGGATGGTCACCCAACGTAACCTCTTGGTCTTTGTACCAAATATTTGATTGTATACCCAACCCAAATGTGCTCTTCAAAGGTTATTACTAACAGTGCTGACCATCGTGATGGAACGAGTCAGTATGGATAACGATTGAACCAGCCTAGGTTTTTAATGACTAGGTGGTCATAAAATGGCAAGTCCACAGCCTTAGATCAGGTCTATTATTCTACCTGCATCGATAGGTGAAATTATATCAGCCTATGCAGAGAACATTAAACCATGTGGAGTCATTAGATCTGAAGGCAAACGACAATAGTCTCGAACAGACTTATTATGACTAGAAGAATTGCCATGTAAAAGCGATTTACAATTCGACCTTTAGAAGTGTACAACCATGCTACTTGAGACTACAGAATACCACCAGACAACCATTTCGTCTGCTGCCACTGACCTTCTGAGGGCTCAACGAAATGCCATCTAGGTCTATCACTAACAGACAGGTGTGGACTAGTGACCATTATCGGGTAGATTCAGTCAAAGTCAGTTTTATTCTCCACGATACTGGAAGGTTGCTGACACGAGGACTCTTTTTGACACTGTTCAAGATATATCTTCCTAAATCCAGAAATCTTCATTGTTGATGCGAAGCCCCCCACAAAACGGATATAAATTTCTTGGAAAAAGTACTAACGCGTGCTAAAAGGTGGGTAATTGGACTAAGGAACAAGACATATAAGGGCCGAACTTACTAACGTGGATTGCTGTGTTTAATTTATAAGAAACTATGAAACGACCTTACAGTGGTGCATAGCATTCCGAACTTTCCTAGTTGTCCGAACAAAGACGTCTTGTAGTGGTATTGGGCCCCTGCCACACAATCATCAAAGCTGAACACGAGACAGATGGAAAATAAATATTCAACATTTGACGCGGAGAAAATCCTAACGATGGAGAAGTCGTGAACAATGAGTTGTTGGAATTCGAATTGATCGGATGGCATGGCTCAATTTCGAAGGCATGGTCACTCTGTACAACTCCTTGTTACTCATATCAGAAATATTGTTTTATCTCCAGTCTGAATGTGTTTTCAATCATATATCTGTGTTTGTTACGATACGATGAGTCAGTGTAGACAATGATATGACATCCACTTAAGAACTTAAAGATTAGGCAGTTACATCATGACAAACCTGAAATTTAAGGATTAGGTCTATTATTAGAGCAGTACTAATATCCTAGTAGACCATAATTCTACAGTCCTACCCAAACCACTCGAGCACTGAGGAGTACACATTTTTCAATAGTGGTCGATCCAGCCTAGAAATTAACAATTCTCCGCAGATCCCCTTCTGATAATCATCATCTGCTCTCCAGTGACTGACTTCAATAGGCATTTCCTGGAGTTCTAGTAAGAAGCCGTGACCAGTGGAGTTCAACCATGTCTGTTGTGAGATATTAGCTCACTGAAGACAATGGTGACGGTGGCGCAACTTCGTGAATTGGTTGAAGTTAGACATTAACACCGTTGGATGCCGGCTCAGTGGTCTACTTGGTTAAGCGCCTAGAGCGAGTCTAACAGGTTCTGGGTTCGAATCTCGTGGGGGGCGGGGTCATAGATGCCCATTGCTGAGGAATCCCTCAATAGGACGAAGCGGCCGTCCAGTGCTTCCAGGTTTTCCATAATGGTCTAGCTTCAATTGACTCATGATTTCAACTATTGAAATAATCGATTAATTTACTTATTCTGATTGTCAAAGTCTCTACCCTGCATTCCTATTTTATAGACTATTATGGTGAGGCCAACTAATCTCCAAAAAACTGTGATAATTGTTGAATCTAGCGATTCAAACCCTGTAGAATGAATGCATTTATTTATAATCAAGAAATAATTGTCCCCAATTAATTATCGATTTTACCATGATTGACACAAACGAGTGGATAAAATAACAACACCATAAAATACTAAACATTTGGAACCTTACAATAATTTCAAGAAGTTAACGTAAAAAAATGAATACTAGTTCATCAAAAGTTACCAATGCTAATAAGGTTCATCTGGTAGGAAGATCTGAAACTTGGATATCTTCTTAGTTTTCGGACCAGGAGCTAGCAATACCTGGGATGTATCTGTTTCGCAATGACAGAAAAACAGGAATCGAGGGTGGAGTCGCCCTATACATACGATCTGGCTTGGAGGTACACCAAGTTCACAACCATGAGTTTGACAATCTTGAGGAATCTATATGGTGCTCTGTGAGATTGTCCACTACTTTGATGTGCCCATTCGTAGTCATATATAGGAAGCCCACTGCCGACATCGAGTATGACAGTCGCATGCTGGAAGGACTATCCTGCTCTACGCGTCTCGGTTTCACTCATATCCTAATTCCAGGGGACTTCAATTTCCCTAGAGTCAACTTCGAGGAAGATACGTATACTGGAGGTGAAAATTCAATCGAAGCTCGGTTCTTCAACCTCATTGAGGATTTTGGGATTATACGAAAATTTGAAGTCGGCTACTCGTTGGAGGAACAGTCAGACACCGTCGCGCTTATACTGTGTTTTTACAAATGAAGAATTTCTAGTCGACAACCTCTCAATTCAGGCTCCCCTGGGGAAAAGCGATCACGCCGTTATAGCCTCCAGTTTTGTCAGCAAAACTGAGCTAAGATATCCCAACAACAACAGGCGCTGGAATTTCAAACGGTTGAATGTGTCAGCTCTACATGACTATCTACGACAGATGGATTGGGATGTTCACCCTCAACTTGATGTGAATACTCACTGGAACTTCCTACTACACATGCTCTTATGTGCTACAAAGTAGTCAGTCCCTCAAACGGTCCCCAAAAGCCACATGCAACCTACAATCATCAAAAACCGCACTCTTCGTTTGTTAGGCCGTAAAAGGCACTGTTGGGCAGAATACAAACGAACTGACAACAACAGCGAGTACAGGCAATACAAACATATAAGGAACATATGCATGAAGGCTATAAGAGAAAACAGGCTTCAGTACCAGTTAAAGCTTATGGATAAATTTATTTCCAATCCGAAAAGCTTATTCCGTTACGCAGCCTCTCTTCGTCAAGCCAAAACTAGAGTTTCTCAACTGCTAGGTCCTAACGGCCCGACCCATAATGACGGTGACGCCGCTAACCTTCTGGCTGAGCAATACTCCCGGACATTTCAACCGACCCATATCAACTATACTGATGAAAGCTTCATCTGCAACTGCACAGGACTTTCCGTAGTAAACTGGGCACTGGCTTGGTGCTCCAAAAACTGTGGCACCTAAGAGCAGACACTTCTCCCGGTTCAGATATGGTCCACTCTGCTATACTGAGGGAAGCAGCTTCAATCCTGGCAACACCGCTTAGCGTGATGTTCTCACACTCGCTAAGTCGAGGCAAACTACCAGATATTTGGAAGCTGGCTCATATCACACCAATCTTCAAAGGAGGTCGACGCAGCGAACCCTCAAGTTACCGACCGGTGACTCTTCTCTCTATACCTTCAAAGATCATGGAGTCCCTGATATACGATGGTATACACGATTATCTGCTGTCCTTAAATTTCTTATCACCCCAGAAGCATGGTTTCAGGAAGGGTTACTCCTGTATGACGAACCTGCTGACTGCGGTGGACGGATGGACAAGCATCCTTGATCGCAAAGGGAAGGTGGATATCACCTACCTTGATTTCTCCAGAGCTTTTGATAGGGTTAATCACATATGTCTTATCAACAAGCTCAAACAATTGGGTATCAAACCACCTTTAATTGATTGGCTCAGTTCATATCTGACAAATCAACATTTTAAGGTCAGAGTAAACTTCGATTTCTCACACGCTATGGAATGTCCCAGTGGGGTCCCCTTAGGCTCAGCACTAGGGCCTCTTCTCTTCCTGATTTATATAAATGATCTTCCACAACAGGTAACGTCAGACATATTGCTCTATGCCAATGACGTGAAACTTTGGAGAGAGATACGCAACCAAGAGGACATACAGGCACTTCAGGAGGATCTGACTCGGCTTCAAAGTTGGGCAGACGACAACGGACTTACCTTTAACACTTCAAAGTGTAAAGCAGTCCATCTGCGACACGTCGCAGATTACAGTTACAACTTAGGAAACTCCTCTCTTATAGTATCCCGAGTCGAAAAAAAACTTAGGAGTTCTGGTGCTCTACAGCTTAAAGTCTTACGCTAACTGCGACAGGAATGCCTTTCGAACAAACCTTGCACTGGTAACATTGAAGCGCATTTTTGTTCAGTTTGACGGGAGAATTTTCCACATAATCTTCAATAGTTTCATTCGTCCGCATTTATAGTACGGAAACATATTATTCCCTCCTACGCTTCAAAAGGATAAGGACACTCTGGAGCGAATCCAACGGCGAGCCACGAAATTAATTCGGGGACTCAAATTTAAACCTTATGTTGAGCGCCTCCAATCACTCGACCTTTACCCATTAGAGTATAGGCGTCTTAGAGGTGACCTTCTAATGGCTTACAGTATCCTTAACACTCCTGGACATCCTCTTAAACACCTACTTAAGCTTAGTCCCAACACTAACCGAAGGGGTAACACTCAGAAATTAGAGATGCAACATAGTAGAACTGACTGCAGACACAACTTCTACTCTTTAAGAGTTGTCAAATGCTGGAATTCGCTGCCAGATGAGCTAGTCCGAGCAACTTCCCAGGAGTCCTTTAAGAGGCGACTTGATCTATTCATAAGGACTAAGGATAGTATCTTACTATGATTTACCAATTTCTTTTTTTCTCTTTTATCGTTAATATACCTAGGTTCTTGTCTGAAGGTATTGGTGATCCCCTGCTACTAGACAAGGAAGCCTGTCAAGCGAAAGCTTCTTCTATTCCGTCCACAACCATTTGAGCCATTTGAACCATATTGGACAGGCTGATTATTGGTATAAATTATGAAGTGTGCGTTACTGTATTTTTGCTTGTTCATAGACGCTCATTTAATCTAGTGCTCCAAGTTATTTCTTTCCACTTCAAGTTACTGAATATTGTCTCCAGAAAATGTCCTTCGACTTTCTTGACACCAAACAGTTTGGGCTCCGCACACACTTGTACCATATAATCTACTTTTTTTCCGAAATACTCTTGACATTCGCCAACTTTATAAAGTCTTCGATATGAATCAGACAATTGAATAATATGTAAGGTTCGACCTATAGGTCAGTGTTAATACTCGACACGTACGATTATCTTTGATTGAATTCTCGAAAAAAAAACATAAGTAAGCAGTTCATGATGGGTTTGTGGATATATATGGTGGTTAAGAATGTTCACTGTATCAAACAATAGGTTATTTCATGCTTACTTTTTTTGTGGCTACTTCTCATTGCGCCAGATCCAAGTAGGGATGTGAATCTATGTACAAAAAATTTCCGTCACTCACAAAAACGTTGAAGCACGGACAACCCAATCAAACGCATCCACATTGCCATTGAGGATCTTAACTTTCATCAATATGATTCTGAAATGAAGTGACAATCAGTGGTTGTGGTAGTGTTCTTATACTATTTTGGGGAATTCCCCAGGTCTGGGGAAATTTCGGGGTTTTTGTGCCATTTCCCCAAAACAGGTAAAAATTTTCCCCAAAATTGGGAGCTCGGGTAGTTTTGAGAAATATGTGGCTTATGCACGTACAATAGATCAATAATGCTCAAGATTTACTTCTGAGCCTATGAGTGGCTCGATGAAAAAGTCTGCGAGGTTGATGTAAGATTTAAGTTTCATCAATACATTATCACTAATGGAATATGGGCCAAACATTTTACATAGAAGGAAACAAACCACTTCGATCGCTAAAACCGAAATAAATGGTATTTTATTTTTAGACCACCTTGTTTGAATTCTACCTACATTTGATTGTGATTACTTGTCAACTACGTATATATTTCCTTATACATCCTACAAATTGGTTTCCCCAATCCACATCCATTATTTTTCGACTAATTTAATTGTCGCTTTTCACTTGATCCTGACTAACCCTAAACTACCTTTTATGTTTTCAGATACCCCAGATGATTTAATATCCAAGATCAGTCTTACGCCTTCCTATCGGGTTTTTTAGAAGATTTAACATTGAAAGAAGACTCATCAGCAGTCTGAACTCGTACGTGAACGAGTTTTTCGAGAGCTAATTACTAGTATTAAATGTTTTAGGTAGTTTACTAAATGTCTTCTGTTTTATTTACTTAACAAATTATAGTAAAATTCGGAGCCAAAATATGGCGTTCACTATATAATTAAAAAGGTACTATTGTAGATAGAGGGGAAAATGAAGTGCAGTTAAAAATATAACCAGACAACTTCAGTTAGTAAGACTACCCCTTCTGTAACAAATATAAAGAAGGACTACAACGGGATCGCCATTGACTTATTCTGAGCCATGTCGGACAATGACTCAAGTTGCACAATGTTCAGAACCCCAACCAGTGAGTTGTGATAAACCAATAGCTGTCAGTCTTATATGGCTTTATTTCACACTATGAAGCTGTCTTATAGACTGGCTAGTTCACTGCTTTTACCAACAAGCCCCGTCACCGGCAAATAATGCGCGGCGTGGGAATCTCTAGTGTGACACTTGTAGTATACTTATAGGCCACTGAAGCAAGCGTTTCAAGATATTGACACAGATTGGATTACCGTCGTTGTGCCCTAACAAAATAACTATGTTAGTTTGAATTAACAGGAAGCATTACTTACCCTTCATAATTAAGTGTTGCTCACAGTTTTGTATATTCATTTACTGCTAGTTAAGAATTTTAAACTGTTTATGTTTTTTCGTAGCTTGTCGGATTTGCATTGAAAATACAACATGGTGGATGCGGAATTCAAACGAAAACTAAATGAAATTCGTGAGAAAGTAGAAGATCTTTTTGATTTTGAAGGATGTAAAGTTGGTCGTGGAACATATGGAAGTGTTTATAAAGCTAAACTTAAAGATGGTACAGACAGTAGAGATTATGCGTTAAAACAAATAGAAGGCACTGGTTTATCTATGTCTGCGTGCCGAGAAATAGCTGTAAGTTCACTTATAATACAACGACAAATAATTTGTATGTATCATATTTCAGCTTCTTCGTGAGTTAAAGCATCCAAATGTAATTACTCTACAACGAGTTTTTCTGAATCATACAACTAGGCGAGTATGGTTGCTGTTCGACTTTGCAGAACACGATCTCTGGCATATTATAAAATTTCATAGAACAACTAAAGCAAATAAAAGTACAGTTCAAGTCTATGGCAATATGGTCAAAAGTTTAATGTATCAAATATTAAATGGAATCCATTATTTACATGACAATTGGATTTTACATCGAGATTTGGTACGTTCTAATGATAATTTTGTCTGTTTTTTCAATTCTAAAGAAATATTAGGCAGCCCAAACGCATTGTGTGAATGCATTTTCTTTCCAGTGGCACCGTCAAGAGTTTGGTCTCATCATCAGAGGATTTGTTATTTCACACTACACTACCAATAGGAAATAGCCGTTGGTAGTAAACTGTAAGTGTAGAACACAGGCGCTCTACTGTGATTGTCTCTGTTGTATTGCTCACCTGTTGTGAAATTATCCGTTTGTAAGAAATGAGATTATTCGGTCGTTGAACTTCAGTGAGCGTAAGTGGTAGCTGGGTTATGTCCAATCGAAGCCTAAAAGAGTAATTGTATTTACTAGTGTTAATGGTGGTTTTCATTTTTTGTAGAGATGATTTAATTAACAGGATGGTAAGTAGAGTGCTAATCGATTAGTGATGTGAAATGATATGGTGAAGCTTGGTAATAACTGTTCATGAGACTGTATCTCCTAACTTATTAAACTCAACTGCTCTTAGAAAGACTGAACAATGTAACATGAGATTCAAGTTCATAATTTGCCAAATAATATTCTGTATAAAATTTTGTGGAATATTTTCGTTGAGCTGCTGATTTCATTTGTTTAGACATTAAATCTTCAACCTATGGTGTGGGCTACTTACGCAGACAGACATGAGTAGTATGTAGCAGGATTTGGGGGTAGAATGCTTACCTGCAGAAAACTGAAATAAAGAGGAAATGGAAACCATGGGCCACCGGAATAACAACAGGGTTAGAAGAATGATGGGGCATGTAAAGGACAAATCAAGCAAAATGTGCAGATGATGTATTTATTGTATGATTTTCATACTTTAAAAAGCACTGTGTAATTTTGCATTCAACAATAAATTGGTTTTCTCAAATGAGTTTTCGTTCATTACTTTTGGTGTCACCACCTACAGAAAGGCGAAGAGAGCGTAGTTCTGAGGACACCGTTGCGGGGCCGTGAATAGAGTCGTTAGCTGATTCTGTCAGGCCCAGGAAGGAGACGTCATGTGGAATGGTCCTGTGAAGCAATGTTGGGTGCAGCATTCTCCATCGACGAGGAAAGGACGTGGGACGTCTTGGGTGCCAGGCTAACACTGGAGGTAGATGGCCCGGGAGATCAGCGCGCCGGCGGACTCGACATTTCGGCGAGGAACAAAGAACAGACTACGATAAAGAGGAAAGCGGCACTGAGACCAGAACAACTGCAAGAGCGACCGTTTAAAGGGGGGGGTCGGGTGTGGTTTACGTTATCTACGCTGATAGATATAAGTAGTTTATGGCAGCAATCAGAAGTGAGATGCCTGTCAGCATAAAATTGAATCGAAGAGAATAGGTGGGGAAACAGAGAGAAATTGAAATAACAACAGAATTGGAAGAACCATGAAATATGTAAGGGAAAACTGAAGAGAGACGTGGATGGTTTTCATATTTTACAAAGGCACTGTGTAATTTTACATAAAACAATAAGTTGGTCTTCGTTCACTGCAAACCTATCAGCTAGTGGTTTGGAAGTTATTCAACTTAACGATTTCTATTTTGAGCATTATTACTTTTCAGTGGTATGGTATTCAGATTCTTAAAAGAACTAGTAGGCACAGATAGACGTTTGTGGTAGACCATTTCAAAATCCAAGATCTGATAGAAGACAGTGGAATTTGCCTGTGTCATTGCGACTGATTCTGAGGCATATCACAGAACGTCTCTAATCATTAGTTACGACAGTCGTGTGGACACTAACCAGGCATTCTGCACTTGCTAACGCATTTCCGTCTAACATTCAATCACTTAATGGACTTATGCTACTTTTTGGTTTCGCTACTTCTAGCTTTATTTCCATCTACTCCCACACCAACGGACATCGTTCGTCGAGCTAGGCGATCGCTAGAGTTACGTAGTACATATCTCAACCACCTCACCCGATGAAGATTCATAACTTTCAATATTTACCTACTACTCCTTCAGTATTGTTCATTCCGTGGCCCCAACATACGCGAGCAATGCTTCGAAACCATCTTTCTTCAAGCACATGTAACCTATGAATATCATATGTTTCTAAAGATCACGCTTCACAGCTACGTATTACAGCGGAACGAAACGCTGTTCAGTATACTTGTCCTTCGATTGACTGACGGACATCTTGCCTGCTCCACAGGAGAACTGAACCCATCATGACTGGTGAGACTTCCAAAATAATTGAGATAGTTGGCGCGCTCTACCACTCCTCTTCTTATCTCTAGTTCAAGCACTAATAGAGAGCACCACTAGAACAAAATTTTGTATTTAGAGAAAGTATAATGCACCTTGAACACTTTAATTTTTGCTTAAGATAATCGAAGGACTTCCTTTTTTCTGCGTCTCCACTAAGTAGGGCTGTCATTTATGGATTTTAAGTCGGTAAGTTAATTTTCTGTTAAGGAGATCAGTCCTTGAAATGTCTGGAGACGGAAGCGTTATCTCTGAAATATTATCTATGGCAAAGTTAAGTAAAGTGAGGAGAACGGATAACTCTGACGGTTTATCATCTCAATAACAGTTGATCTGAGCCATATTTTTAGATGTGCCTTACTTGGCGTGAGAAGTCTGCATGCTAACTGCTGTCAGTAGCTGGACACGTCGGGTTTTATGGCTCAGAGCCGTTAACAATATCATCAGTACATTCACTCTTTATCTTCCTCTCAGTCTTGAATTTCAGTATTCCTTCATAATTGCCTTTCAAATCTCTTTGCGAACCATATTCCCAGGGTTTGATTTCCCTTTTTATCATTTCTACTACATTATTTAGATTCGTTTTGTTGTTTTCGCCTCGTGCTGATTCGATATGGCCACTTAGACGAACCCACATTTGAGCCTTTTTGATGTCTGCTTAACATTCCTACTTTTGTTATTTGCTTAATAATATAATTGTCTTTTTGATTTTTGTCTAGAAACCTGCAAATATCTTAGTTATGGGTGAAGGTCCTGATCGAGGTCGAGTTAAAATAGGTGATTTAGGTTTTGCTCGTCTATTTTATCAACCACTGAAGCCATTAGCTGATTTGGATCCAGTTGTCGTAACATTTTGGTATCGTGCACCAGAATTGCTGCTAGGAGCTAGACATTATACGAAAGCTATTGATATATGGGCTATTGGATGTATTTTTGCAGAATTACTCACATATGAACCTATATTTCATTGTCGTCAAGAAGATATTAAAACAAGTACACCATATCACAAAGAACAACTGGAACGTATTTTTCGTGTAATGGGATATCCACCAGGTATGTAAGTTATTATTTGGTGAAACACTAATGATCAAGTGATATACTACAGCCTAGTACGACCTCTGAAATGCAAACTTGTGACTTAATGATTCTGTGTTTTTTTAACCTTTTTGAGATAGGGTTTTTCACCAAGAACTGACTTCAGTCGGACAATAACTTAAAGCCATTGTACACTGAAGATTGGTTTTGCGAAGTTGTAGCCTATTGTTCAAAACATTCACTGTCGTGCTTGAGGATGTACACGGCTAGGTAATCTCATAATAGAACGAAACAGTCATTCCGTTTTTCCTAGTTTTTAATGACACCACGAATAAAACCACTTTGTGATGAATAGTGTCTATTAATTATTTGTTTACCAGAGAGAGCAATCCATTGCTTTTATTTCTGCTATTGCAATAGAAATCAGTTTAATTTATAATCAAAGTGTCTGCTTCTTTAACATTTTTATTTCTGATCAATTCAGATGATGCTTGGGTTGATATGAAAAAAATGCCAGACTATCATCAATTATTACGTGATTCCATAAGTAAAAAAACCTATGGTAAATATTCACTGGAAGGTTATTTTGAAGAGAAAAAATTTAAAGTGGATGAAAGAGAATTAGCTTTGGTAAGTTATTTTACAATTCTATTGATTTTAGCCTTATTTGATGTGTATTATTATTATTTGGATTGGTGATCCAGCTACCTTGATCTCTTTTCATTCGAATCTAGCAGACACGGGCGAAAGCAACTTCCCATCGTAGATTTACTTGTTTTTCGAAGTAAAAAAAGTGTATTTCACGGCTTATCACCTGGAAGAGAATTCAGTTATTGGACGTTAAGAACTTTCTTCAACCCATTTTTCATTCGTTTAACCACAATAGGATGATATATGATTTCACAGTATTTTATAACATACATAGCTTTAATTCACTTGTCATTCTGGTTCACTTTCTATTAGTAGTTATTATTTAAACATGTACTAAGTCCCCTTAGAGAAATTTGGACATCTTCACTACATTCTAGGGATCAAATACATTCTATGCTTTATACGTGCATATTGTCATTTATCCTACAACTGACACTTGGCCCATATTCACTACCAGAATACTAGCATTTACCAAACAGAATTTTAAGACCGATTTACCTACGGTTCTGAATTTAAGGTAGGGGTTTGGCATTGCTCTATCTCATAACCTATTCATCTATTTAGTTCAGTGAACTTCATTCACCGTGGTACTTATCTGTAGCCACGTATATTTTCTGCCAAACGCAACGATCCGCAGATGGTGTTTTGCCGGTTCATTCCATACACCTAAGGTCATCATAGTCAAGAATGCTACAGTTTCCTTCGTCAAAATTTCCCTCAGTAATAAGTAACTGTAAAACAGAAACGACTTATGGAAAAGTTGTTTTGTTGATTTTCAGTGACTTAAACTTGCCGCTTAAAGACTTGGCTTTAGATAAACAAGATTGTTATCCATTTCTCAAGCAATTAGTGTACAGAAAACCCTACTGTATGGTCTGATTAGTCCCTTACTATTTATATATATTAATATATATTGTAGATGGGCTTTACAGATGAGCATCAACCAGCATCATATTTCAGTCAGTCACAACGTAAACCCTGGTACATCTGTACTGCAGTTCAAGTTGCCATACCCTGTTACCACAGAAAGATGAAATTGTCAGCCCAAATCACAGAATAGTAAATTTAGTCCAAAGATTCTTTCTGATTACTTCTAACTACAGAACATTAAATACTTTTACCATGAAAATTAGTAGTTAATAAATAAAAATCAGACGTAAATAATATTTCTAAGCAACGTTTCTAAACATTACCCCAAAGTCAAGTTCATTGTCTGTATCAATAAAATCTACTGAGTAGCTGTACTTTCATTGTGAAAAAAAAAGAAATGAAAGGGATAATGATACATCTTCATTTTGATATTATATCAGGAAATTTGTAATAATCTAATAGTTAAATTAATGAGTCAATTTAAGCTGAACTACTGTTGAAAACCTAGAGGAACTGGACGGCCGTTTCGTCCTAGTATGGGACTCCTGAGCAGTGCGCATCCACGATCCCACACGCGGTACTTAAACCTAGGACCTTTAGTCTGGAGCGCGAACCCTTAACATTTAGACCACTGAGTTGGTATCAATGGTGGTCTAGCTTAAATCGACTCATGAATTCAACTATTAAATTACTATAGTCTCCACAAGCCGCCACTGATAAAAATCTGTAATAATTTTTTGATCATATTTACATTTTCTAAGCTCAGACGTTTGTTAACTATGGATCCTGTTAAACGTTTATCTGCTGCTGAGGCTATGGAAGATTCCTACTTCAAAGAAGGTGAAAAACCAAATAATGAGTAAGTGCGTTGTTATTCTACAATTATAGTTTACATACTTTGAGTCCCCAAATGCCCTGATACGGCCGAGGGTGGGGGAATTAACTCTCCCTCTCGAAATGTTTTCACATGTCCACGTGCATACAACCACCGCCAGAGAAGTCCTACTCACTGCCTTGTCGCGGCGGGAGTGTTGTCTACGAAATTGAGAGGACAAAAAGTAACTGTTCGGCGCTTTAACCGGGTTGGTGGAAACGGAGGATCCACCTAGGAGAGTTGGAAAACCCCGATTCCAAACCAATGGTGCACATGGGGCTCCATGATCCTGAAGTAAAAAATGTCGTATGGACCAGTTATTAGTTACTGGCTACCATGGGACTGCATCTCTTGACGTTGTTCTACTGCCTTGTGGATTAGACCTTTAGGTTGGAGGCTCTAGGTGTGGCCCCCTAAGGAGACCATCTGTTTCGGTCTGGGCAACCGGGCAGTATCACAACTCACACACAAATCAAGTGACTAGTGTGGCGCATATATATTCGGTGTACCAACATTTGTGTTTGAAAAAAAAAAATAAATAAAACACTTGTTTAGCCTTTTTTATCAATCTTTCATTCAGCTTCATTTATTAAATCATTTATTCCAACGTAATATTTTATTGTAAGTATATGGTTGTACAGTTTATTATTGTATGAGAAACCAACTTTTGAACAATGAACTCTGTTCAAATAGGTTTGTTAATATCATAATGAATAGATATACTGATCGAATTATGGATAGTAACTGAGGCTTTATTGATCGACTTGGGTCTGTTATTAAGTTTATAAATTAGTTAACTTCGTAGAAAGTTATGCTCTTTTAAATTTTTTTCCTATTCACTCCAATCGTGTTACATTTTAAAAATATACTTCAATGATTAATTTATTAATTTATTTTGTAGTCAATTTATCCACATTTTTAAAAAATGTCAATTTTGTCTAAATATTAGTTGGTATGGAGAAGTGGCGGAGATTGTGGTATTTTCACTGTAGAAATCATGAACTGATCTCAGCTAGACCACCAGTGAAATCCTGGAAGCACTGGACGGCTGTTTCGGGTCGTAGATGCACCCTGTTGAGAAGTCCTATATTGGGACGAAACGGCCTACCAGTGTTTCCATGTTTTCAATGATGTTCTTGCTAAGATCAATGCGTAATTTCAACTGTGTAGACGTTAATTATCGAGATAAGAGATTTGTGATTTTTCAAAAGGAAGTTAAATTGTTAGGTGGTTGAAGGTAGTTGTGGCGAAATCCTGTTTAATCTAGGTTTTATTCTAGCTAGTAATCGGCAGTAAGGCCTACCTGAAATCTCAAAGGAACTGATTTTCCTCGTAGGATTCAAGTACACGACAGATTAACCTGTAATGAGGTCTACGCTTAAATGTAATATTAATTTGTCAGGGGTGCTCTGTCAGTATATTAATTTAGGGTGATTTTCGTTCAGTTGGTTTAAATGCATTTTCCTGATTTCTGTTCACTAACTTCCAATATATTTGAGAGTATGGAGTTAGCTATTTGATTCACGGTAATATTTCACTGCTATTTGGTTTGATCTAAATTACTGAGTTGATAAAACTTTGTCATTGGTAATCATCAAATTTATATATAACTGTATTAGCTTCGATATAAACCTTAGTCTCTCCCAATCAATTTTAACAAGATTCATCTTTTGTAGTATTTGTGACTAAAAGGCAACACAGCTGTTGTACATAGTATAGTTGTTGTTGGTAAATATCCTACCTTATTCCATAATTGTATCACATATATATTTTTCTAGGCAATTATCATAACAAGTTTGTGCGTTACCATTTTAGTCCAATTTGAATTGGTTTAAATTATCCCGTTGTTGATATTTTTGACTGAAATCGGTTCAGTCTTGGTGGGATATGGGCATCTTGTGCAGATTGTCTCGATATGATCATTGTAACATAAATTGATATAGAATAGATGGAATCTAGCTAGGAATGGAATCCAGGACTCGTGTTTCGTCCGATTGGGGACTCGTCAACTGGATGTACCTACGTCTCGGAGTTTATGTTCCCTCTGGGACTCGGATCCAATACTGTTCGCTGAAAACACCATCGCGTTATCCACTTATCTACTGGGTCCAGATAGCCACTCACTTGTGGCACGAGTAGGAATTTTAGTTGAATTCGTAATGATTTGAATTGTCTGGTTGTTAATATTTCGATGAGTCTTCGTTGGCATGTAGGTATCCTGTACTGAAGTAAACACCAACTCTTGGGCGCGTGTACATCCATCTGACGAGTCCCCAGTAAGACGAAACGCGCATCCTAAATTTGACTGCTAGCTATATTCCATACATTTTATATTATCATTTCAGTTTGTTATTGATTTGTTTTTATCAAATATTATAGTGTTTTTGGAAATTTACCTATACCTTATCCTAAACGAGAATTTATCTCCGATGATGATTCTGATGATAAACAAACTGGTGCAGATAAGAATGTCACACAAACTGGACAACAACAAAACGCTACTGGAGGAAGACAAACTACAGCACATCCGACTGGTGGCAGTGGAATGCATACTACACATCCTCATCAACCTCAGCAACAATCTCAACAACAACAGCGTGGAAATAATGCTCCTCAACCTCAGTTACCATTGCCTCAACAACAACAGAGAACAAATGGACAACCACCACCACTGAATACACAGCAACAGCAACAACACATGAACTCTGGTCAATCTAATCCCCATACAAGACAATTAATTCATCAACAGGTCATTACCAATTGATATGTGTTGTCCTCTTTTTGCTTATTTATTATCATGTGAAAATCTACTGTATAATGGTTAATAATTAAAGATCAAGTGAGATCATGAACTGATCTAAGTTAGACCACAATTAAAAACTTTTAAGCATTGTGTGACCGTTTCCCCAGCAGCGCGTATCCACGATGCTGCACGCGGGAATCAAACCCAGGGTCTTCTGTCTCGCAAGTGAATGCTTAATCACTGGGCCACTAAGCCGGTATCAAACGGTGTTAATGTTTAGCTTTGATCAATCCACGATAGTGCGACCATCTTCCATTATCTCCAGTGGGTAACTGCCTAACTTAGATAGGCTCATGATTTCAATTGGAATTCGATAATCTCTATAACTCCATATTGAAAAATAAAATCAATTAAATTCATCATTCTGTATTTCGTTCGATACATGACTATGATCAGGTAATGCCCTTGGTTTTAGTGGTTACACATGTCACACCCCTTGTATTTGAGGGTGCTGGAGTTTCTGAGCTGTTTGACTTGGTTAAGCTATGAAAATTTTTTCACAATTGTGAATGAATTCTAATAGCTCATTTTTATTTAAGGTACCTGCTGATGTTTTTCAAAGAGAAGAACAATAAAACCACAACCAAACCCATCTATCAACTCAGAGATCACAATGCTCTCTAACTCCTTTCGTCTTGAACTACAAATGTTCTTTATCTTCTCTTGTATTGTTTTAACATTCTAGTCACTTTAACAGTAGACAATCATTGAATGGAGTACATTGAACGAAGTATATGCTAATGATTTCTTTTAAAATAATAATTGTGTATTTTTAATGAAGAAGATAATTGTACGTAAAGACGGATAGTGGCTAACAGTGGAGTCCAGGACGTGAGTTTCGTTCTATTTGGGACTCATCAGCTGGATGTACTTACATCTCAGAGTTGATATTCACTCTGAAACTCAAACCCAGTACCGTTTGCTTCAAACCCCATTACGTTATCCACTTAACTACTGAGTCATGATAGCCACTTGTTTGGGAAGATTCAAGTAAACAATACCAAGTGAATTTAAACTTAACTCCACTGTCTGCCCCACACTCGTCCTCTTTAAAACGTTGTTGCGGTTGTTCTGCTCGCCGCACCGCTTTCTTTACTGCAGTTTATGCTGCGCTCCTCGTCAAAATGTCGAGTACATGGCGCTGGTCTTCGTAGTTCCGTTGACCGGCGGGGCCATCAAAATCCGATGTCTACCCAGAAGCCATACGTTCCATTGCTCCTCTCTGTCGACAGCAACTACCACAGCTAACGCTTCCAGGTATTCCACTTCTGATTGACGTGATGCACTACATATGTCGAAATAAGTAGCATACGTCACAGTCCTAGTATTGTAATGAACGGAGACTTGGGCAAGGGATTACATTGTCTTTGTAAAATACGAAGACAATGCATTAAATACGATATTTGTACATCTTCCTTGAATTGTCCTTGACAAACTATTTCATTCTTCTATTCCCGTTTTTATTTCAGTTGTTTTCTGTTCTTTCTCTTCTCTTCATTTTCCTCTTCTGTCAGTAGGAATTCTACTTCCACTTCCTAATACATACTACTTATATCTGTCCGTATAAGTAACACGCTCTGCAATATGAGACTCCTCGGCTGTACACATTTACGACGCTTCATGGGATCGAGCCCTAAACCTTCAAACCTCTTGGCATTCGCGATACTTTTAAACCTCATATTTAGAACACACGAACTATTCAATTAAACTGTAATTGTGTGCTAATTCGTGACTAGCTTCAAAGTCCCAATAAGTATTTATGATTGATAAATTTCAACCATGACGAAATCAAAATACTTACCATCAGTTGGATTGGATAATAGTCGTACTATAATACTCGGTTACAGCTGTACCGAAAAATTAAACTAAGATTTAAATTTTAAGTCAATTAGTTGAAAGCATAATGCTTTGACTACTAGTCTGGCGTTCAACTTCATATTCATCATGAAATATAGTTAATTAGCCTAGGTTATTTTATGCATATATATATGAATGCAATAAGCTTGTTTTCACTATAAATGTATATTTCCTTGTAGAATAATAATGATGACATACCATCTAATAAGCGTATTCGGTTATCCCAGGGGAATAATGACACATCGATTGCACCACCGCCATTACCATCCTCCTCGACGACATCATCATCTACAACAGTTAATAGTAGTGGGATCTTACATACAAACACAAATAAACCCAGTATAACAGGACAGTCTCAGCAGTTATCTAATACCGCTACTACTACTACCACTTCAGGTTATGTGAATCTGGTAATTTGTGGTTGTTTGTTTTTACATATTTGTTTTGAATGTTTTATCATCTATTTAAATATATGTATACTTTCTATGGTGGAGATTTGTAGCTCAGGTGGATGATTTCTCTGAGCTCTCTGCACGACCAAACCATCCAGCTCAGAGAACAAAACTCCATCAAAATACTTTCTATGTAAATAAATCTGGGTTTTTGTGATCGACTGTTGGTCATATCATAAATCTGTCGAAGGTCTTTATCAGGAATCCTACACCTATTTGCAATGCCTGCAGACGGAATATTATTTTGCAAAGCAAATTTCAGAGAATGCACTCATTTGTATGTGCTAAATGGCATTCCTATCTCAATTGATGGATATTCAGTCTCGCGTTTAAAATTTTTTTTGAATATTACTAAGTCGATATCACTGACCCAGTTTTTTCACAGCACACACAATTATACAAAGACAATATTATCGAATACACGAGGTTTATTGGTTATCTAATCATCAATGTGTTGTTCATTGTTTGTTGATCCATAGTATAAAGAGCTTAAAGCTAAGTTCTTCAGTAATTCCTTAATGTTTATCTCGGAGAACTGTGTCCCTAAACACTTTCATAAAGCCTATACATGTGTTATTCTATATCACTTAAAGCTGTTTTTTTTCTATTTCAGCAACAACAACAACCAATGAGAAATCTTCCACCTGGTCATATGGGGCATCCGGGAACTTCTTATCCACGCTATCACCACTAGCAATCACAATTCTTCATGGATTACTTTTTTGTATATATTATTATTGCCTCAATATTCTCATGGTTCTGTGGCCAATGTTTTTTGTTTTTCGACACATTTTTGTACAATGATTGTAGTAAAAATATACAAGTGTCCTGGTATTGCGATAAATTTAATGGACAGGGAGTGAAAGAGTGGGACCTAAACCAGCTAGTCACAAGTCGGTTATTTGCTTATTTAGCTAATCATAGCACCTAGTTATCGAGATTCTAAACTCTAAATTAGTAAGGTATTGGACCGTTTAAACCCAATTATGACTAAAATTTACACCCGATTCCAATTATTATCCCGTTTCACATAAACGTTAGATCAGTGAACCAAATTCGCTTTGATCAATATCTAAACATTCCATCACTTGTGACTGTAGGTTTGTCATGACCTTATCTAACGTATCCCCCAGGATGAAATCGATATAAAAACAAGTTTAATTTCATTCCCAGGGATATCTGACTAATTTTTCATCGAGCAATGAGCTACTGGTACTTAGTTATCAGGATCTTAAATGTTCGAATCTAGCTGAGTAATACTAGCATTATGCACAAAACTCTCACCAGGATTATATGTAAAATAATTTCAAGCAATCTTGCAGATAGTTCTATGTTATCGGTAGGCTTATTTTGTTTGAAGTTCTAGTATCCTGTTCACGTATCAGGTTTAGTTATGCATGAAATCAGTTCACAACTAGTGCTGTGTAGTAATTAAGAAATTTACTAGTTCATGTCACAATACCAAGTTGTGTTGTTGTTTTCTAAATGATTGTATTTGATACCTATTCAGAACTACATCATTGCGTTGATGAGGGATAACAATAGATCAATGTGAAACTCGGGTATCTAATCTTCGTTGAGTTTGTATGGTTCTTAAAATCACTACCTGCTAGAAACAATTGTATTGTGACACTAATTGTCCCTGGATTTTCTGCGACTCATAAGTGACAGTTATCTTTGTTTTTGAAAATGTCCCAGTTATGTGCTGAGGACTTATTATTTGTGGTTGTGCAGGTATTATATTTTATTCATGTTATCAAGTGAGTCCTAAGTTTAAATACTTAAGATTGCTCATCTTAATCTCTGGTGTCGACGGTAGGTTTATAGATGTGGGAGCCTGCATGATCTATTGACCACATGACGAAATTAACGACATGAATAAGACTAAAATACTAATAAATTAAGTACGCTATCGAATGCAATATATTGACTCTTCGTGGTCAACTAAGAATTTATGTGACATTTGTTTTTAGTTATTCTTTTACCAAGCTTTGCAAACAGTCATTACAAATTTTATAGTAATGTTTTACAGTAACTAATATACGGCATACATAAATACAGATAGCTTAAGCAGAGGTCATCTCTTTATATTTATGTTTTAAAATTTACCGCAATAGGAGTGACAAATTCTAAAAACTATCGTATAGTTTCAGTGCAATACGAGTTAAGAACCTTTCTTTGTGTACGTAAATATAAGCAACAGTAAGTTGTCATACAAAAGAAATTTACTAATGCATATCAGGTATGTTTAAGAAGCAACTAGCTGTCCATACTACTAGAGATCAGCATATTCTACGAACCAATGAAGTCAACGGATTATCCTAGACAAAGAACCCTGTTTATAGAATGAAGTAAAATGTATCCATAGAATTGACTACGATTCCTACTACACAAGATTCGATCGCTAAATAACATGAATATTAAATCGACCGGTTTCAAGTTGTGATGTATCGATAATTCCACTTCATCTCAACAATGACAGCGGCGGAGAGAAGCAAGAATACACTTGTAAACATAGTACTCAAAACATTTTGATAGAAAAACGCACTTAATAAACATAAAAACCAAGGTTACGATATTAAAGTTGGGGATTAATTCAACCAACCATATTATCATGGTAAAATAGCATGAAGACTGACCAACTGTTGTTTAGTGCTCAGCATTCAACACGAAGTGTACTTTAGCCATTTGAACAATAGTTAGGTAGGATCATAAAGCACAACTACCCTCACGACATTCTGAAGACGAAAATCAGAATATTTTTGAGTCTTGGAATCAATTATTTATTTATTTGAACACATAAATATTGGTACAGGGGGGCACCAAATATATATGCGCCACACAAAACAGTGATAATTAGAAGAGGAGAAAAGAGAAGAAAAAAAAAAGTAATGAACGTGGGGAATTATAAAAAAAAGAAGAGAGAGAGAGAGAGAGAACAATGGTGGGGGAAACGGAAAGGTACAATCAGAAGAGATCTTTCAGTTAAGGAAGATACAACCACTTTTTATGAAGAAACTAAAAGAAGGTTACAGCACGATCGCCACTGGCTTCTATTCTGAGCCATATCTGATAACGTCTCTAGCCACTGCGTTACACCATCTCTCGGACCCCAACCAGGGAGTCGTGAAGGACCAACATAAGCTAGCCCTTTGCAGCTTTCTTTCATACCACGACACCATGTCATATACTGACCACCTCTCCGCTTTTTCCAACCAGTCCCAGAGTCGGCAAATAATGCACGACGAGGAATTCTCTGGGACGACATTCGTAGAACATGTCCAAGCCACCGAAGTCGGTGTTTCAAGATGGTGACACCAATTTCATTATCGTCTCTGTGACCGAACACTCGATGCCGAACCTCTGCATTACTGACATGGTGTTGCCACTGGATGCCAGCAATCCTTCGGAGGCAACGATGATCGAACACAGAGAGTCGTCTAACATCCTCAACTCGGAGGCCAGGTTTCACAAGCATAGAGCAAAACTGCTCTCACCGTCGCGTTGTAGATCCGACCTTTTACAGCCAGACTAACATCACGAAGGCGCCAAAGATGGCCCAGATTGGCATAAGCCGCTCTGGCTTTCACTATACGTGCATTGATCTCATCACTCACGCCACCACCAGCACTTATGCAGCTACCCAGATACACGAACTTCTCGACTACTTCTATCTGCTCACCATCCAGAGTGAGTACAGGATTAGAATCCTGCCAATCTTGTAGAAGTACTTTGCACTTTGAGGGTGCAAAGCACATACCATACCTACGGACACTGATTGCCAACTGATTAAGTGCGGATTGCATGGCTTGGGCATTCTCGCACAGTAAGACAATATCATCCGCATACTCAAGGTCGAGAAGTCTTTCTCCAGGCAACAGATCCACACCACCATTACTTACATCCGCCAGAGCTGTTTCCAGAATGTCATCGATGGCAAAGTTGAAGAGGAATGGTGAGATTGGGCAACCCTGCCTAACTCCACTGCTTGAATGGAATCAATAAAACTGTTTGAATACAACTATGTATTATCTTATAGATTATCACTAGCTGATAGATTTTGTGGTTGCACAATTAGCAAGTAAGACTCACAAGAACGAAGACATCAATATAAGGTATTTCTATAAGTTTATACGAATATTCGTCAAGATTAGAACAGATAGTTTGACAGATATTGGGCGCCAAGTATAGAGAAGTCATTATATATGTAAATTATATTTGAAACAATCTCAGCGATTGAAATTTAAATAATTCCAACGTTTCGTCCAGCTAACTTGTCTGGACTTCTTCAGGGTAATAATCAAAGAAATATATAGCTACATATTTTTTTGATGATTTTGATTATTACCCTGAAGAAGTCCAGACAAGTTAGCTGGACGAAACGTTGGAATTATTTAAATTTCAATCGCTGAGATTGTTCCAAATATAATTTACATATATAATGTGTTTCTATAAGTTTTTGATCCCAAAATCCTGGACAAATTAAATATTTGTTAGACAGAAGAGTAAGATCTAAACTTCATTCATTCATTTCATTTTAACACATAAGTATAGGTACAGGGAGGCACCAAGTACATATGCGCCACACGAATCTCAATTGATTTGTGTGAGGGCTATGATACTGCCCGGGTGCCCAAACCGAAGCAGGTGGTTTTCTTAGGGGGCCACACCCCGACCCTTTGACCTGAAGATCTGATCCACAAGGCAGTGGAGCATCGTAAGCAGATGCAGTCCCATGGTAGCCGGTGACCAATGATTGGTTCATACGCCATTTGTTCTCGCAGGATACTGGAGCCCATGTGCACCATTGGTTTGGGGTCCGGTTAAAGCGCCGGGCATTCGCTTTTCGTCCTCTCATTTTTGTAAACAACACCCCCGCCACGAGAAGGCAGTGAGTAGAACTTCCCTGGCAGAGGCTATATACGCATGGCCATGTGAGAGCATTTCGAGAGGGAGAGCGGACTCTCCTCACTCTCGGCCGTACCAGGGCATTTGGGGGCAAGATCTAAACTAATCAAGCTTATTGATGAGTGACATTTTTCTTAAGAAATAGATTCTCTCCAAGGCCACATAAGCATTATTAATTACATCAGAGTAGTATGAAAATGCGGATATGTTCTATGAAACCATATCAGTCAGAAATCGCACAAAATTTGTAAATTAAAAATTACAATAACAAAATACAGAAAACATTTTCTTGTTAAATTTTAGTAAAATTGTATTCAGAAAAATAAATTTAGTATATGGCTTTCTCCTTGTTATTAGGACTTGACAAAATTAGATTTTAACAATTTATCCCATAGATCTAATAAAGACTTGAGTGTATCCACCCAATGCCGAATCTCCACAGGTGTAGTAGTTTCCACTAATTGAGACATTGACCAATGGATTTTTTCACGTAGTTCCGTTAGTATACTAATCTCACTGGATGCAGTTGAAGTTTTTTTATTATCGGAAAGTGGTTTCATCTGAGCATCAATGAACTTCTTTGGTAAACTACAGAAATACACAAAGATTGTAGAAAAGTATTATATCAAAGAATATTGTTGCTTCTATTAAACAATTTAGCAGTACGTAATTTGTACACAAACACACTTATACACTCTGTCTTACAACATAGCTTGGAAGTCTTGTAAAACGAGCTGTGAGATGTATTGCATACAACTACACCGAAAAATAGGATGAATATGGTTGAGTGATGACAGTTCTTGCTAACAAGCTCGAATAACATTAACTGTACGAAATGATATTACTAAATTGTCAATACTGAAGAACATCAAGTGTAATCCCACAATTCACTGGTTAAGGACTGAATGCCTATAAATAACCAAGCCATTGTTCCAAGACAAATATAAGTCATAAAAGATGACTGAGAAAGCTGCGACATCATCCACCCCACTTGAGTGAAACTATAGGATAACCGAACTTCTAGCAATTCAATGATATTTGCTGTTAAAAGAAGCCCTGTGGTCATACTTTCAGATCATAAACCACTACTCATAATTGTTGATTCTAAGAGAACTACTGTAATAGACGGCTATCACTGCCGGTTTGATTTACAGATAAAGCTAAATATTATGCAGAGTAGGTCACTTACTTGCTTAAAAGTTACATTGTCTTATCAATCCGTGACGAAGTTATATGATGCAGGTATTGGAAGTGTGGTAAGTTGACTAGCAAGTAGCTAGACAATTCCTGTTTACGTTGGGGATGGACTGATCAAGGGTATACCCATGACAACATTGTTGAACTTACTGTGTGACCAACAATTTTTGTGTTTCTTGATGTCAGAACATCAACGGAATCGTGCTCCGAAATAGACATTTATAAACAATCACTTCAAAGAAATAAAATGGCCGCAAATAAGAATCCTGACAACGCCAGTTGATTAAAATCCTGATAGGAAACTATATAAAATTTGTACTAAGTTCCGATTCCAAACAATATAAATTGGAAATAATTAGTATTGGTAACAAATAAATATACTTTTTTCACCACTAGATTAAACGCTTGGCAAAGTCGCTCAACTGATGTTTATATATTAATTTATTTCGTTAACTCCAAGTCAGTTATCACCGTATAACAAGAACTCCATATTGTTTTGATCATCAATTACGCGACAAAGCTATGGTTTCCCGGTTTGAACACCTGACTTACAACCATTAGAGTGAAAAGTCCAAAACCTGCTTCACTGACTTAAGTTTAAGTAGCTAGGTAACAGTTTTAGTCGAGCAGTCATGGAAAAAATCCATGTGTGTTTATGGGGCTTAATCAAAGCTATTTTAATTAATCAATTAACTGAAGTTAAGTCATAACTGTTTTATGACAATAAATATACATACCCAGTGTCAACATCATTACGAAATGGCGACAATGCAGTCGAGAAATTTTGTGATTTGTTCAGTAAGTGCTGGCTACCTAACAATGGTTCTTTAATAGAATTGGATTTTTCCTGATCAACTTCTAAGCAAGCTACACAATAATACTGACCATTAGGTTGTTGAAAAAGAATAGTCTGAAAAACACAAAATCTGATAACATGATACAACTGACCTCACATTTAGGACAAGATTCGTTTAACATTCTCCATCCTTTCAAAAGATACTGACCCATAAGATTTGAAATCTTATCAGAACGTTGACGTTTTCTGATGTCACAATTTGCATATGATGAATCATGTAACATGTCGTTGTCTTCAGGAGATTGTGAATTCATGATAATCTGAAGTGTAATAGTTAAAAAATTTAAGCAATAATATTTGTTAGGTAAGAAATATCTACGTTTTCCGTAAAATTATTTATTTATTTATTTTAACACATAGATATTGGTACAAGGAGGTACCAAATACATATGCGCCACAGAAATCTTATTTGATATGTGTGAGGGCTATGATACTGCCCGGATGCCCAGATCGAAACAGGTGGTTTTCTTAAGGGGCCACACCCCGAGCCTTCGACCTGAACGTCTGATCCACAAGGCAGTAGAGCATCGTGAGGAGATGCAGTCCCATGGTAGCCGGTGACCAACGATTGGTTCATACGCCATTTGTTCTCGCAGGATACTGGAGCCCATGTGCACCATTGGTTTGGGGTCCGGTTAAAGCGCCGGACATTCGCTTTTCGTCCTCTCATTTTCGTAAACAACACCCTTGCCACGAGAAGGCAGTGAGTAGGACTTCCCTGGTAGAGGCTATATACGCGTGGCCATGTGAGAGTATTTCGAGAGGGAGAGCGGACTCTGCCCACTCTCGGCCGTACCACGGCGTTTGGGGGCTTCCGTAAAATAAGTACTTAGTTATGAAAATATACTATATAAGCAAGCGTTGGTTAGCAGATTCAGCTGATACAATGACTGAAAGAATGCGAATCATGAGTACAGATCGAATTCAAACTAAGGTATACTATATGGTGTACCTACACTGTATTAGTATCTAGAAACAAGTTATATGGATTTGATAATCATCTGTAGTTTTTTTGAGTCCTAACAAATAAACATAATGACTTACTTATATTCCAAGTACAGATGTTTGTACTCAGTTTGATTCACGTTTTTTACGCGATAAGTTGACGATACTAACAGGATACCCAGACGATTAGACGAAGCCTAGCTAGTCCAGTATTCTGACAAATAAGCAACCGCTAGTTGTTTCTAACGTCCTAGTAGCAAAAACTTACAACTACTACGTCTCAAACGAGGTGAATTATTTGCATATTTCTATGATGAGATATCATGCGTCCTTACATGCTGCTTCCTATAGTTAAAAAAGCCTTGTTCTGGTTCCTAACTATACAATTGATTGTGAAGCATTCCCATATCATAGACAAAGGTTTTGCTGAGACCTATAAAGACTACACCTGCAGAAGTATTTTATATTGACATACTGTTCAATTTCCTTTCCGAATGGGAATAACTAACTATGGGTTAACCTCACGAAAGCCATGTCCTTTCCTGAAAGTATTTCCATACAAGTGAACTGGGGGAGAAGCACAAACTGTTTCCACTAATTTAACCAAAACACAAACAAGACTAATCGGACGAGACATTAACCAAGTTGTTCTTGAAGCCGGACTAATGACGATATCCTTCCAATACCTAGATTTCGACTGTTTTAGTAGCATCGAACAACATTCAGTGGTGTGACAATTGCTTTGCCCGTGTATGTATTCTGCTGCATAACAGAATGAGCGAAGACAAAACTAAATGAGGTCTTCATGTTGAATACACATATTATTAGTGGCTTTATTCAATATCATTATTTGTAGTATGTAGACTCCTCAGGACAAGATATTTCAACAAGTTTTTTTTTGCAAAATTTAAAATCGTGAGATAAACTTATAACTGAGAACATATTTAAGTAATTTAAGTAAACAAACTACCCAGAATCAAATGCAACATATTTTAAGATTTAGATCTGTACAATCTTTTAATTAAACATATTTGAAAGTACAACGTACGTCGTATGTAAGTTGTACAACCTAGGTTGTTGACTAGGTCAGCTCTAACAACCTTTTGATTAAATACTATAGTCGCTAGATAAAGTATTGTAGAGATTTTGTATCTCAGCTTGAGTGCATGGATCCTATAAGATTCACACGTTCTTGTTGAACTAAACCTCAATTGAGATTTACTTCAACAAGAACAAGTAACTTACCAAAAACAGAAAAGGGCTTCTACATCTACTTACTTAAATTTGAAGAATATAGAGTTAAATCAAGTTGTTTTTACATACGACTTAACAGCAATATCAAAATATCTATGTAGCACCCACACACTCTATTGGTACCGCGTAACGTCCAATATTAAAAGACTTCTCAACATTAAATGATCCAATTTGTTGAGTGACTACGATGTTCTGATGATTCTTCACTATCTAAATCTGTCTATAAGTTATTCACCTTTAAATAAGAAATGATTTGTTTATTTTTCACCGTTAGCGTCTAACCAGAAGGTGCTAGATGTGTTATAGGAGGATTCAGGGTAGTGCAAGAAGGGTTGGTAAAGAGAAGAAAAAACGATGACCAAACAAGCTCATGCAAAGCACTTTAATTTGTTATGAAAATAAACATTCAACAGTGGGAAGTGGTGCAAGCCTCATATTTAAATTATCTTGGGATTAAAACTGTAGGGACAGAGAAATATCACTGAGCCCTAGCTAAATCACTCGGCAGTTGGGTCACTGAACATCGAACAGATCATCAATCCTTGTCAAGATCACAGACAACCAACGCGCATCACTTAATCGTATGCCGCGGTCTGGTGCATGTGGTGTTGGTCTTGCTATCTTCTCTGAACTCATTCTTACTATTATATTTCCGTTGTAACGTCATTTGTGTTATAGTACTTTGATGCGTCGATTGAGTAACCACGTGAGATGCCAACCGTGAGGTGTGACTTTGTAATTAGCTGGTTCGTCACACCAATCCCGTCCAACTCGAGTAGGCCTCCAATCATTCGGCATAGATCATCTACACGGGTGATCAACAAAACTAAGGGCAGATGATTCAAATCGCTAAGCATTATATTGATACCTCAGTAGCTTGAAAGAGAGTAAATATTAAGCTTAATAGGTTATTGATAGGAGTTGTTCAACTATGTTCGTTTACTTGAAGCTGGAGTGGAAGAAATTTTTGATTAACAAGTTTCTTATTCTAAAAGGAACAAATTGGCAATCACTTCAGGAAGGGATTTGAGTTTATGAAAGCAAGTATACCATTGGGAGACTGCTTATTGATTCCTAGATAAAACATCATATTCTCGTTTAAATTATCAGGCCGAAGTTGCTTGGACTACTTTGGGAGATAGTAAAATCCACTACTGTGGATTAAAAAGAGTGTCTACAAACTATTCTTGGGATGTGCTGCAAACGTTCTTTAATCTTGTGCCCTGAACTAAACTAAATGGTATTGACAGAAAGTCTTAGAAATCTACTGCAAAACTGTCATGAAGTGTGTTTTAAAGTTGCTAGACTAACAATGACTGGGAAATCTCATGTCTAGTTTTTTTGAAGTGCTAATCTACATTCTTGATTAGTGTTTTTTCTCTATAACCTCATGTTATCAACAGAATATTTTACAAAACATTTCCGAGTTATTTGCCTGTTACATAAAGTTATATTTCACCGATAGTGAGTCCCTAATACCATATTGATATTTTTTTTATCCCTAAAGGATAAATAATCTGCCGTAACCCTAAATAACTATGATAATTAGAAGTAATTGAATTATAGTATGAACTAAGAATCCCAGAAATAACGCAAGTGAATCAAGAAGTACTAGACAAGCACTAACGAATGTACTGTATTTAGACTTCGAAATCAAGCATTCAACAAGTACAAAGGAATCATTAGTTCATTCAATCATCACACCAGCCACAGCTTAAATTGGAGTCTAAGTGTCTGTAATCAATTGCACGTCTTCTTCTTAAGTCTATCCTGTGTCTGTCCAACAGTGTATTGGATAAAGACTCTGTATTGTCTAGAATGCACTCCTTAGTATTAGAATTAACAACCGAAATTGGAACAAACTCACCTGGTTCCTGGAATTGTATTTGATCAACATGTCGATTGTGTGTACTTAAGTCATCGATATCTAGAAGTCGCACCATAGATTTCCCGACATTCTTCAGAACAATCCCCGTGGATGCTCGAATATCATTGCCACGATAATACGTAACTTCTGCAGACTCCAAACATCTCATATTCGACCGAAGAATTCTTCCTTTTAATAGTTTTGATGGAGTCTCTTTTGTCACCGAATGTCTGACATTTCTATATTGCAGTAGAAAGATATCTACTCCCCTCTCCAGCTCATTAAATGTTGAGGCAGCAATAGAATCAATAGCAGTTTTTAACGTCCTTACAAAATTTTCTGCCTGGCCATTAGAACAAGGATGTCTGGGAGCAGTAAACAGATGTTTGCACCCTATACCATTTAACCAGGTAGTGACTGCATCTGCAGCAAAATAAGAGCCATTATCGGTAACTAAACCATGGGAACCCCTTCTCAACTAAACACCTTTCTTAATGCTTGAATTGTGAAGTCAGAATTTGGTGAAGTTGTGAAAAAACTTCAGGCCACTTTCAAAAGAAATCAATGACTACAAGTGCATAGTATCTGCCAAGAAACGGACCACAATAGTCTGCATGAATTCTCTGCCAGGCTTCAGACGATACTGGCTATGGAGTCCACTTCGAAGGCTGATTTTTCAACTGACGACATTTTTGACAATTGTTTTCTGTACGACATATATCTGCATTTTTCTCAGGCCACTAACATGTGAGCCTTGCCGGGGACTTCATTTTCTCAACACCTAAATGTCCACTATGAAGATCTTCAGGAACAGATTTACACAATGAAGGAGGAATAACAACACGATCATTTAAACACAAAATACCATCAGGAGTAGTGGATAGCTCACCCCGCTTTGAAAAATAGATAGGAAATCTACGTTTCAGATTAGCATTCCAGCCTTTTGTATAGTTTGAGTATACATCCAAAGTATCTACGAGTTTCTCTAATGAGATCTGGACGTTTCACTGGTAAAGGTTGCACTAACAAACAGTCTGAAGTATTTACAGGTTTATCTTGTAATGGTTGTCGAGAAATGTAGTCAACATGTTGAACTTGTTTGGCACTTCTGTGCTGAACCGTATAGTCATAGGCACTCAAAGCAATACTCCATCGTTGAACCATAGCAGCTGAGGAACGTGCTAAGGATTTTTCAGGATGATAAATAAACTTTAAAGCCTCATGATCAGTAACAACAGTGAATTTCTTTCCGAATGAATATTTATGAAGTCTTTTAACAGCCCAATACACAGCTAATGCTTCTCGCTGAGTCTGTGAATGACCTTGTTCAGTAACAGTAAGTTTGCGTGAAACACAAATAACTGGTCTACCTT